GCCTCGTGACGTTGCGTAGCGCACACCCACGTGCAAGGTACCAACCAACTAGAAAAGGGTCAAATCAGCAAGACAGTACCTCGGAGAAAAGCATGAACGGTAATAGCCAAAGGTGGCCAAAGGTGCTGTTTCATTGGTCACGGGGATCCCTGGTAAGCCACGTCATCGTCCAACCGCTGCAGCCAATCATAGGACCCGTGTGCGCGCCACGGTGGAATCTTGCTGACTAGATTCTGATTCTGCTTCGTGGCGCGCAACTTTTCTTCACTGGAACAGTGGAAGAGGGAAGCTTTTCTCCTCTTCCACAGGCTCCCCTTTGTGCGGTGGGTTGCTCCTCTTTCTTTGTGAATCGGAGCGAAACTGTTGTTCTGAAGCAGTTGAAGTAGCAGAGCCAGCATCCGGAGGGAATTCCTCTTTTAAGGAACCGAAGGAAAGGGCCCGGTTGCTGGTTGGGTCGGCGTTCTCAGGTTATTCCGTGGGCGGCGCAGCTTGATCATTGGAGTCAGCTTATTAGGACCGAAAAGGAAGCTTTCACTTTCGCTGAAATCTGGTTGCTATTGGCAGGGTTGACGCATCATCCGCGTCGCTTAATCTGCAGTGTGTTTATCCAGTGGGTTTATCCCTCTGTCACCTCATTCATGATCAATCCCTCTTTGGAACTCCAAGTAGTCAGCTGAGCTAGGCGAGCTGTTGAATCACAAAGTGCAGATGACAAAGTGAGTATCTGGAGTCTGACACAGTGGCAGCTTTTGGAATGGCAGCCAGTCAATTGGTCAAGCTGTTCCTGACAATAGTTCTTGCCTTGTACTTTAATCATGCAAGTGCCACCTTAGATTTCATCAAGTCTTCCCAGCTCCCCAATCTCGACACAGAGCCTCTGACAAGGATCGCATTTGGTTCCTGCATAAACCAGACCATTCAGCAGGTGCGTGCTTCCGTGATTCCTCGGTTCTTCATTTCCTAGTGTGCTGAACGGTGCGATGTATCTGTTGCAATTCAGCTGCTGCGATGCATTCGTCATTGTCAATGGAGGAACTCATGTGTTCTGAGAGCAGGCGCCTTTGGAAATAACACAGCCCAGGGAAGAACAGTGATCAGCACTAAACAGCTAAATCGAATCCATGCTCAAAAAGCCTGACGAGTCTGTGTCGTCGGATCCGGCATACAAGAATATTGGTTGGGTCAGCTCGATGATTCCATTTCGCTGGCGCACCTTATGACCAGGTCACTTGGTTACACATCTGATGGATGCGGTGGTTCTGCTGCGGCAGCAGCATAGTGCAGGGAAAGGTTGATCTGAAGGGGTCAGCATCATTTGTCTAAAACATCTACTTGTAGATGGTTCACTTCTTTGTTCATCCCCTTTCTCTCCTAGTCAGGTCTATTTTTGTGTGGTCAAGGAGGGGACTTTTGAGTGAGAGCTTTGATGGTTCCTATCCATTTTTACTTTACTGTGTTATCTTTGTGAGCTTTCTTGGGAGTACCACCATGTGAGCTGGCACTGTTTGTTCGATCTTAAGTATTTGGCAGCCAGGGCGTGTCACTGTTTGTTTGTGAGGGCAGTGCCACCACCAAAAGTTGGATTTGAGCAGAATGCTTGATTGCTTTGTACACAATGAAGCAGTTTAGTTATTTACAGGTCTGGACGCACCTGCAATAGCTATACGCATCCGTTATCTACAGACTCGTCAGACATTTCTCCGATACTAGGATTGTGGTTTGACTTGGAGTGCTCATCTTTGGTCGCAAGATCAATTGTAGAAGGCTACTGAAGACATTCTCACTGAATTATTTATCTGCTGAATAGTGCCCTTTGGGAGACAAACCTTTCTAAAATCAGCTGCCAGGGCTTGGCTATCACTAAAGCAATTCCTGATCAGTTTTGGGCTTACCCCAGAGAGCTTGATGGAGACGGTTTATGGATGTGTATCCACAGGAGATGACACCACTCATCCGAGGACACAATCATTGCTTTGGATTCTGCTTTTCTCCTGCTTCTGTAACAAGACTGCAAAAAGAAAAGTCAATACAGTCCGCTTTGAGATGTTACATCTTTCCTTCTTTGCCTTCTTTTCTGTCTTCACACCAGACAGCCTGTTACTCTGCAGTTTTTACGAGAGTCTACCACACTAACTGAGACAGCTGAGTCGCTCAGCTGAGTACAGAAAACACCATTCAACATGTAAGGGCTGAGCCTATTTGAGGCCGAAAAATTTCATCCAATTTAGGACGTTGAAGAAAACAATGGTGGTTCTGAAAAACAGAAGCGCCCCTTTCTTTACTGTTGCCCCCTTCAAGTTTTGCCTTTGACGCTCACAACCTCTTACTCCTGCAGCCTATCTGGAATGCAATTAACGCATACCATCCCCAGCTTTGGATCTGGCTCGGCGACAACATTTATGCGGATACCAAGCGGAACATGGTGCTTCTGGGGCCGAAAAGAAATGTGGGGCCGTGGCGACCGTCGCCCCGGTTCGTTCCGGTGTCCAATGAGGTGATGGCCAAGCAGTATGCGCTGCAGAATGCGCAGCCGGGGTACGTGCAGCTGAAGCAGAGGACTCATGTAAGCGCTCTAATAGTTGGTACCGGAGTTTATGTTTTGTTTCAGCATGTCCTGGTCCAGATGTGCGGAAGCGGAAGCTGGATGCTGCACTTCTTTTCATCCAATATGGTTGAATGCTAGGCTCTGGCAAGGCTGATTTCACCTTCGGGACTGACCGAGAAAGTAGACCAGCGGGTCTCGTTTTTCAATCGTTGAGCAACTTGTAGTCAAGGCCCGTATGAGTTAAAGCTCTGTTCAGCGTTTCATAAATGTTTGACTGGTCGTCGCAAGCTGTGGAGATCGATTGGCCCACTTCAGCCACACTGAAGCGTTCAAAATGCCTCACAACGATCGTGAATTGACTTAGCATCTCATGGGCCTTTTTAGGACGTTGGGTGCTTCTGGACATCGGGGTCGACTTCTGAAACGGTGGAATATTTGAAGGGGGACAGTTCTAAAGGTAAAAAAGCTGCTATCTGACCAGCAGTGTGTGCTATAGCGACAAGGTTTCCTCCGATAATACGAGACTCGATCGTTCCCATCACTTGGGGCAGTGGGCCTGCAGTGGGCCTGCTGATTGAAGTTTTGGCTTATGGACACCTTAACGGCTGTTAAGGTTACAGGTTATTCAGGGTCCGTTTTCTGAATGCTTGCAGGTCGTAGGTACCTGGGATGATCACGACTACGGGCTGAACGACGCGGGGAAGGAGTTTGAGGGCAAAGCAGACAGCATGCGACTGATGCTGGACTTTATCGGGGAGCCGAAGGACAGCCCTAGGTACGTATTTAGATTGACGGAACATATGGATAAGAATCATGCATAGCTTCCGCCGGCCTGTGTCCTTTGAAGTGAAGGGCAGGGGAGTCGTCCTCTTGTGTGAGGCATAGATGTTGTTAGCTGCCAGCATCATGATACGGTTGGCAGCAAGAATGTTATCGCACACAATTCGTTGGTGCAAAAGCAGAGCAAACCATCATTGACGTGTTCGCTGTCGGACACCATTTGAAGGTTCCGTTTTGAAGAGCAACTCAAAGATCACTAACAATCCTTCTGATTTCCATTTCTACCCATCTTTTTGATACCTGGACCTTGCTTCGAGAAAGTGAAAAGTTATGATGAAAGTAAACCCTCCGCTGCAGGCGGAAGCAAGACGGCGTGTATGCGGCCTACACGTACGGTCCCCCCGGGCGGCGCGTGAAAGTATTTCTGCTCGACACGCGGTACAACCGGGACGCAAAGTGGAGCGACGGGGATGTTTTGGGAGAGGCGCAGTGGCAGTGGCTGGAGCACGAGCTCGAAACGAGCGATGCGCAGATACACATCATCGGGTCGTCCGTACAGGTACGTTGCCGATTGCATTTTGAGAGGGTTTGGACGCGGCAATACGTGGCTTAGGTCGTGCCCGGAGTTGTGTGAGATGGGGTTCGGACGGGAGGGACTGATTTCGCGCCGTGGACGATATTGAGTGTGCTGCGCGAGACTTTTGGATAGTCACCGGGCGCGAAGATCCTGACATGTTCAACGGGGATACAGACGGCTTTTGCACGGGACTGCAGTTTCGTCAGATTGTGAGACCCCTATTATATGGGTCGAAGTTCTCATGGTCCCCCGTCCGCTTGCGGCGGTTCTGACAACAATCGCGTGGCACATCCCCAGTACGGAAGAATCACCGTCTTTTCTAGTTTCAGAGTGACGCTTCAAACCTCTTGCCCAAACCGTTCCGCCGGCCGTAAGCCTCAAGATTGTCTGAGAATGTTACATCTTGAGCATCGACAACCAAAGAAACTGATTTTAGTCCTTGTCTTGCATGGGGTAGGTTGTGACCCACCTGAGCGAGTTGGTCCAGCCATTTTTCCACACCGAGGCGTGGGGCCACTACCCCACCGCCCGGAAACGCCTGTACGACACGATCAACCGGTCGCAGAAGGGGGGAGTCATCCTGCTGAGCGGGGACGTGCACTTTGGGGAGATCAGCAGAGAAGACTGCGCAATTGGGTGAGTCGAATCGCTCTATAGGAGCACTCTTTGGGGGTTAAGATGCTCACTGGCGCTTGAAATGAGGAAAGTCGTTTGTTGCAGAGAAAAAGAAAAATCTGGTGGTCGAGGCACTTACGTTTTGTTGCAGAGAATGAGAGAAGAAGACGCGATATTGAAGAGGAGTCCTTGTGCATCGAGGATCCTTCTGAATCCTGTACTTCTCGAAAGCGATGGAACTGCTTCTTCATTGAAGAACACTGGAGCTCAGGAGCCAAGTGGAAAACCTTCGCCGGCCAACTCCCAAGGAACACTTCTCGCTCTGTCCAAAAGAAGTCACCTGGTTGCTGAATCTCGTGCCAATCGTTAAGTTCGGCTGCAGCCTATCTGACATTGTTATTGCAACATCCTAGCTGCCGCTCACGAGCCTGTACGTTCGAAAACTTGCCAGCCTTTATAAGGTCTCGTTCCGGCACGGCTACTGGCATCCTTCTTTTGTGCCAAGTTGCCAAGTATTTCGCTTCTCGGTACTAAAGTTGGAAGCTCGCAATGTGTTTGGGTTACACCTCTTAGCAGCGCATCTGGTTGAACTATGGGCACACCGTCCATGTATACCAGTCCGCGTACGCAAAACACCGATTTCTGTTGTCGGTCCGTTACTACCGTTGCAGATATTGGCTGGACAAGGTGACGTCAGTCAAGGCCGACGCAGCGCAAGTCCAACCTGTATCGAAGCACTTCAAGGCACCGCAAGTGGCTGCTAAACAAACCCTTAACCAGACTGTTACAGGCTTTACCCGACTACAGGTACCGGCTACACGACCTGACCTCGAGCGGCTGACTGCAAGGTTCTGGGAGGTTGACCATGTCATTTGCATACTAACCAATTGCCCGAAAATGCCCACACGAAACCTTGATCAGTCTTAACCCCCTTCGTCGCAGGTACCGGTTGCACGATCTGACCTCGAGCGGGCTGATGCAGGGCGTCCAATATCTGAAACTTTTTCACCATGAGTCGTAGCGTACTGATTGCCGCCTAAAGATGCTGCTAAACGAACTTTTAACCAGTTCTAAACCGGCTTTTCCCCGGTCGCAGGTACCGGCTGCACGAGCTGACCTCGAGCGGGCTGACGCAGCTCCTGCGAGATTTTGGGATGTTTGTTGCATGTTAAGTAGGTGCCGCCCGAGAATACCCAAACGAACTCTTGACCAGATTTCAACCCTTAACCAGATACTAACTCTTAACCAGACCTTAACATGCTTCTTCGCCGGTCACAGGTACCGGCTGCACGACCTGACCTCGAGCGGGCTGACGCAAGGCGTGCAGAAGTCGGTGAAGGCCCCCACGCGCTGGCTCATGAAGCTGGCCGCTGTGTTTGTGCCACGTATCCGACGAATAGTTGGACCTTACTGTGAGCAGTCCAGTGCTTGGATGTTTTGAACTGGAGGAAGCAGGGGCTTGTAGTCGCTCGGTCTGCTTTAAGGTCGTTTCTGAGTTGCTCTTTCTTAACATGATGCACCGCAGTATGCATTCTGCGAAATCTAGAGTGCGCCAAGGGTGCCTGAAGTGTGCTCTTCGTCTCCTTTGATGCGATGAAGGGGGCTGTTGGCAAGCAGTTCGTCGACAAGCACTTCGTCTTCAATCATGATGTCACGTCAATATCAGATGCACACTACGTTGACACACAATGCACCTTATAGCCAGACAGAAGTTCTTGTCCGATCTCCTTTTTCTGACGCGTGTGCCAAACAGCGACGTCTTTGGTAGTTGAGCTCCTTTCTCCCCCCTCCACGACAATCTTACAAGAACTTGGCTTCTCCTCTCTCCATCTCCTATCGCTGGCCTTCTTCTCTTTAGTGCTCTCTAGATCTCGCTCGCTGTCAGGTACAGGATACTCTACCTCCGCTTCTTTTTACTCCCCATTCATCTTCAACCCACATTCCGCGTCCGCTTCATCACTTGCTTAGACCTTGCCCGCCTCGGAAATCAAGGATTTTTACTTCCCTCCGTAGCGAGCCGCAATTTTGCGACCATCTCGACTGACTGGGAGGCGGTACATCACTTGCTTGCAGCTTGCTCGCCTCAGAAAACAATGATTCTCCTTTGCGTCTGCAGCGAACCGCAATTTTGCGACCATCTCGATCGACTGGGAGGCGGACCCGGTCGAGATCGAGCTGCAGATCCGGGACGAGGACGGGGACCGGGTGCACAAGCCCGTGCGGCTACGCCTGTCGTCGTTGCAAGTAAGTCTCCTCCTGGTTGAGCTCAATACAGATTTTATTAAGCGCAGATAATAATGAGGTCGCCGCACTGGGACGGGTAGGGTTGGTTTGGTGGTTAGGGTGGGTGTGGGTGCGGAGCAGGCAGGTTGCTGCATTAGGGTTTTAGTGTTAGTGGGAGCTTATCATTATCTTGGCTTAGTGTTATCGTTCGTTGAATTCAATCTCCTCCTGTCTGTTCCCCCGACAAGCAGGGCTGTACGTCACCAGCACGTGGCCTACAAATTGCGATGATCCGCTAAATTTAAGAATGAAGGGCTTTACAGTAGATTTATCCCCGCACGTCAAATTGCGCAAGCGGCTTTCTGATGCGAATAACACGACTCACGGATGTTTTTGTAAGCTGACTGGGGTTGCGCACACAGCAACTTCTGTCTCTCGCTGCGTAAGCCTCGGCTTAGTAAGGCAATCCCAATTTGGCCCGTTCCTGCCAATGTTCCCCTAAAACTACCCCTGCGTGTGTTCTGACTGTGTGCTTCTTACACTGTGCGACAAAAGCCACAAGTGCCAAAAACAAATTCAACGTGAGTGAAGCGTCAAATGCGTCACCCGAGATATGCTCAGATCTTTTGGGAAGTCTTCCCGAGGTTGTCCTGCTGCCGGCCTTGGTCGCAAGTCGGTTGTGCAGCCGGTGGAACGCATTAAGATGTCAGCCTAAAGAGACTCACTCTCCGCCGGCAACGTTCAGATATGTTTCAACGACATGCCCTTTCAAAATTCGTCGCATCGTCCGTCCATATACAGGCGAACCGTTCGACCGCCCGCTTTGACTCCCTGCGTGATTTGGAGTTCGGGCTCTCATCATCCGTAGAGCAAGCTTCGCTGTAGCAATCTTAACTGGCGGCTTCCGGCCCCTTGATTCGAGCTGTAGACAGAAAGGCTTAGCGTCTTAGAAGCCCTTAACGGCTCAGATGTTCGATACTTGACAATTTTGTGTGACACGTGTTCTCCATCTGTGCAGCCCGGGGCGAACGGGCTGCCGCTCGGCGAGGTACGGACGGGTTGCCTGACGGAAGAGAACCTGGTGTGGCACGCGAAATACCGGCTGGCGATCGTCTTTATTGGGGTGCCAGTCCGTAAGTTTGAATCTCTTGCTTGATGTTCCGTCACTTGCTCGCGCGCTTCTAGTCCAACGACGAGTCTTTCTGAGGTTATATCTGTATAACCGGGTGCAACTGTGAACATAAAGTGTATCCTGGGCCCACTTCTGGTGGAGCTGCATCTTCCGTAGTCCTTTTGAATGAATCCAGACTTTGTTATTGCCTCCGGCATGGTTCTGAAAGTCCGAGATTGCCTTGCGGGCCTGTTATAAGGGATTGAAGATGCTCCACCTAGAACCTTCCGTCACTGAAGACGTTATCTTTAACAGTGCCTTTGTGCGAGACTGTCTTTGGCCCTCGTCTCGCTCTGTCCGATTTCAGATGCTGTTTTCGACTATCGCCAGTGCTAAGCTCGGGAATATTCCGGATACACGTCCTCATGAGAGTATATCGGGGGCCCCCTTTCGATCTCTGTCAACGATGTGGTGTGGGGTGGATGCTTTATCGCGGTTCGCCGATAGTAAAAGGCCCTCTACTCTTTTGCTTCAACTTCCGAGATTCTGACCTTCACATTGGACTCGGTTTTCAAACTCTCTGAGGCACGAGGTTAAGAATCTGTCCTGGAAAACTGTGAAGATTCGGACCCAATACTCCCGGCAGTGATGTCACTCAGATCAGCCTGATCACTGCAAGGTCAGAATCATCGACTTTGCGGTCTTCAAGTTTTAACCATATGCGCATCATCCCGGGAGTCTGCATACAACTGGTTTGGGTTCCCAACTCTCCTTTTGTTTTTCCGACAGTTGTACTCAGCTACATTGGGTGGTACCTGTTCCGGAGATCCCGGCGCCCGTGGGAGCTGTCCATCAAGAAAGTGGATTGACAGGGACCAGAGACTCCATTTTTGTTCTCATCTTCCATTCTTTGCGCGGCTCAAGCAGGTAGTCTACTAGGGTTGGTCAGCATATGGATCTTGGCTCGGGTCCATCTGCAGGAGGGTATGCGGTCAAAGGTATGCGTCATAAGCAGCTACTTATAGGTAGCGTTGGCTCCGCCCAGGTTGAGAATGGAGCATGAGAAAGACGGCATCTAAGTAGTACTCGATACTCTTTAGCCTTGGTACATGGTTCACTCCAGTCTTATTCGTGTATTCCTTCGGTCTTTGTGCTTCGCAACTGGTCACTTCTTCCGAATTGAGTATGTGATCAAAAGTCGAGCTCATTGAGGTTGGACGGCCAATTCCACTCGTTTCAGTGTAATCCGTGTCTAGCTCTCTGGCAAGCTCTTCTTCGTGTGCGAATTTTGGAAGTTAGTACTCGGACCTGGGAATTTGTCACGACTGTTCAATCGTCAGCGTCATGCAGGGAGCCTGCATCTCATGCCCGCGTAAGCTGGCAGAATGATTGCCACCCATATTTCCTCTTGACGTACTATGTGCATATTACCTTAACGGTTGCATGTTCACACAATGATAGGGCCGAGAGGAGTACCAATTAAGACGGTATGTAGGACGCCGGCGGGATCGAGTCACCATAGTCTGTGTTGCAAACCATGCGGTTGAACTGCGCACATGTGAGCAAGGAAGAATCACACGGCTTGTTACCATGCAATTGCAGTGCACAGATGGTCATGCATTACAATTATAATTGCACGATTCTAGTGCTAATTTGAATGGTCAACCAGGCATGTAACTAGCTCATGATGTGCCGTATGCAATTAATACATGCCACATGAACGTGAAACCAAATCATTTATCTTTTCATGGATCTTAATTCGCAACCGCCCTGAGCAAGGTGTGTTGTAAGTTCAATGCGCACAGCAGCCGCCTGTAATTCTGAACCCCAGGGCTCGCGACTTGCCCATGGGCATCGTGTCAAAACATCTCTGCAAGGGCGTCCGGAACTCCGAAAAATAAACCGGCCACCAGGGGGGTACAACCGAAACTTGACCCAAAATACACCGGGCACCAGGGGTACCCAAGTTCCGACTCGATGTAGTAAACCCGGTTAGAGAATATAAGGGGATGGAGCGAGTGCAATATCTGCTTGATAGTTGTCGAAACGTGACAACTTGTTTTCAGGTGCTCTATTTCGGTTAGGCGAGGAAATCAACTTACATAAAAGGCAAAATAGAGCACTGTTATCTATACGCATTCGATCCGTGTTATGTGGTGATATTTGTGCTAGACCGTGTGGTTCGAGACTAGTCGGTTGATGTGGCCTCGTAACCTCCAGCCCTTTTGCAGGGGGCTGACAGGCTCAAGTGTACATACACGGGGCTGATAATAGTGGCTCATACGCGAGATTTTGATGATTCTGGGAATAATGAAACATTTATCAGAAAATTCAGCCGGGCACCGGCCACCAGCCCCCTCAAGTCATCTTGACGGTGCTCCGAGAACCGGCCACCAGCCCCTCAAGAAAAATTGCGAAAACCGGAGTTCCGGACGCCACTGCACATATGTTTTGACACGATGCCATGGCCTGAAGGAAGATACATAGGCAACGACCCACTGCACAATATGTAGGTGCACATGCATAATCGAAGTAAGCAGCTGGATGATATCCAGAACTCGATCATGCACCAATGCGTCTCAGTGGTTGAATGTTGCGGTGGCTGGGCCCGCTACATATTTCCGCACTTGAAGAAATAAGAGCTATTTACCCTTTCAAATTGGTTGCTCACTTACTGTTGAAACGCACTACTTCTGCTGAGCCGGAATGAATCACTAGAGCAAGTCATAATCGCCTGCGTCCTTGCCAGTGGCCTGGCCTTACATACCCGATCAACTTACTCTATACATGATCGTAGAATCTATCATAAAAGTCCAATACTTGCTTCCCTTCAATTTCGGGTACGTGCAACTCTCTTAGAGACGGACAAGTCAAGAACTCGTCGAAGTTTGAAGGGTTCAGAGGGTCGTCCTCACACCAGGGTGTTGCTATCGTCAGGATTTTGAGGGACGTGAGGCTAGCCAACGCCTTTGTGACGCTCCTATCAACATAGAAATTGCTACAAAAGGCCGCGGAGATGGTCAAGTCAGTCAAAGCCCCTAGCCTTCCGAGACTGTCTGATATCAAATGGACGCAACGTTGGACGCCAGCTCTATCACTCATGTCTGCAAAACAACTCTCATGCAAATATTCAGAGTCGCAAGGTGGTCGTGCTTGCCCTCAAACGTCAGATTCACATAGAAGTCTGTCTCGAACCCGAAAATCTTCAGGGAAGGGCAGACGATCACAAGTTGGGTGCCATAAGACAACAACCCCACCACCGACTCACGACCTAGCGTGAGGTGTTCCAACCTATCCCAGCCAGTAAATCGATACTTGCGTTCGGCGGAAGCAAAGAAACTGCAGTCCAACCTCGTCAAGAGCTGATTGAAGGGCCAGAAAGCGGTGCCTAGCTCAAAGATCCGTCTGCCACTAGGAACTGGGATTACCCGAGAGTTCGTCAGATTCAGATGGGTAAGAGTTGGTGGTGCCGCCTTAGCAATGCTCTCAAGGACCACTTTGGCCTCCTGATGGGATATCTCCCCCTCCTCACACCAAAGATCCACGTACAAGCTGCGTAAGTTGCGGCAGTCTCCAAGGATGGACGTGAGCTGACGACAGAACCAGTCTAGCGAGACATCGGACAGGCCAAACAAGCTGAGCTGCTCCAGAGCTCTGCATCGGCGTACTGGATCAAGGCTGAAGCTCGAGGGGCAATCCGCGTCGTGGCCAGCATTGAACTCCAGCGTTCACAGACTCTCTACCAGAGTTGGACTCAGAGGCAGCCTTGAGAACGTACGTGGCCCATCTAGTCCAATCCTAAGGGACGTAAGCAATGGCAGTTGCGCGAACAGCATGCCTAGGTTAGCATCTGTAAAGAGCTCTGGCTTGTCCTCGTCCGTGCTCTCTGAATCGGAATCATCCCCCCAAGTGAGGACCTCCAGATTCAGGGTGCGGAGCCACGGACAACTCTCTACAGATAGCACCTGAAGCAGGAGGTAAAGCGAGCAACTGTTTTCCAGCTGGAGGTTGATAGTTTCAAGACTGGAGAGGCTTGCATTGGCCAGAGCCTTGAGCAAGGAGTCGCCCACGAATTGAACGAAATGCACCTCCTTCAGCAGCAGCCCTACTCGCCCTGGGTTTGGGGGCTTGTGCAGGTCCGTCACAATCAGAGGCCCCCGGCCGGCTCGCTCAAGGAGAGATGATGCCTGGTCCTCGTCCACTGGGCAACTAACATCCTTGAAGAGGACTTCCTGAAGGTCAGGCCAAACTCCACCAAATGGCAGCGGCCCAGTGCCCGCAAAATTCCGGCCATCATAACAAGTAACCATCCGAACCGTTGGAAAGCACCTTCCCAGGTGCGAGAACTGCTCAAACGTGCATCTACTCGCTCCTCGGTCACGAGGCACAATGTCGCTGATGTCCAGCGACGTGACCCACTGAAAGCACGTCGGCGTGTGCTCAATCTGCCTTTTCATGCAGTGCAGGCGCAGGCTGTGTCTGGTCCGGCGCTCCGCTGCCCTGAAGGCTCTGCAGACCAAGGAACACGAGTCCCTGACCTTGGCGTCGAGTAGCTTAGCAAGCACCAGCTCCAAAAGATCCTCGCTCAAGGGAAAGGGCGCCATTCTACTAGCCAGCTGAAGTACATGTAGACCTGCCTGGTCATTCCTCGTCTGTGCCCATTGTTCAGGGTTTGGCAGCGGTCGATCTCTTTTAACCCAGTTCACAAAGCGGGGGG